CCGGCCAATCCTCGCCACGCAGCCCGTGCCTCCCGGACTTCGCACAGCCGCTGAGGCCCCCGCCCGCGGCCCCGTAAGTACACCTGGGCCCCGCCCTCTCTAGTCACGTTACAGCACCAGGCGCAACCAATTGGCCGACAGCTTCTTTCCCCTTCCCCCTCCCCCCTTTCCACCGGCCGCGGGAAATCAAACGGGCTGGTCGCGCCCCAACTGCCACCTGGCCTCTGCGCGAAAGGCGGGGCCGTAGGCGCGGTTCCGAGGTTGCCCCTGACGACCCGAGCGAGTATCAGGAGGTGAAGTCAGAAGCCTCAGTCCTGATCCCTGTCGCTCAACCCTCCAGACCGACCTGCCTGCCTCCTGCCCGTGGAGACGCCTTCTCCCAGCCATCGCCACCCTTGGGACCTTCTCCCTAAAAATCGACCCCCACCTACTGGGCTGCGGCATCCGGCCCAGGGCAGGCTGGAACGCCGCAGAACGATTTTCCCATCTCACAGTCGCTCTCCCAAGCGTGGACCCTCCCTTTTTATTTGTTTTTTAGTGAACCAATGGCAGCGCTAGTTAGACCTCGTTAGCCGCGTTGAAATAGCATGCAACTTTTATTTATTTATTTTGCGGAGTAGGGGTGAAACCTAGGGCTTTCCGCATGCGAAGAAGTGCTCCACCACTGAGCTGTCTGCCCAGCCTGTTTTGTTTCTTTTTGAGACAGAATTAAATATAGTACACAGCACTTCTCTTTGCTCCAGGACCTTCATACTGCACTACCTCTCCTGGCCCTTTAAATTTTTATGTATTTACTTATTTTTGAGACAGGGTCTCAGTAACTAAATTGCCCCGGCTTGGTTTAAGCTTGGGATCCTCCTCCCTCAGCCTCTTAGAGTTTCGGGATTACTGGTTCGCGCCAAGTTTTGATCCATGTAGCTAACATCTTAATCAGAATACATGTTCTTGCCCCATAAAGTTCTCTCTAGCTTCTCTCAGCCAGCCCCAACCTCCCCACAGGCCACCACGATGTTTATATCTCCTTCCCTAGTTTCATGGTCTCGCAGGTTCGCGTTCGAGCACGGAGCCCTTGCCTTGGCCTTTGAAGTTTCCTTTGCCTAGAATGTGCCCTCCTCAAGTATAGGCTCACGTATCTCTCCTCATTGTAGGTATAGATTTACGCGTCTCGTCATCCTTCTCTCA